CTCCGGGATACCGTACAAAACCCGTTCGCGTCCTGTATTTCCCGTTATACCTATCAATATCCGTTCACAATTTGCACGTTATTTCATTTGCAGGTTTCTCGAACCGTTCCAGAAGCATTTGCAGTGATTGTGCGAACATTACAAACACTTCATTACGAGAATGGTGAGTGATTCGGGCACTCAACAGCGACAAGCACATGCTATATATAAGAATTGACATCGATTGACTTACAACCGGAAGATGAGAAACATTACAAGGGCCACCACGCTTACTGCCTTAGCGTACGCGCATTTTTAATTATTGATCTGTCTGCGGTGGTATATGGGTGATTTATTTTTGTGGCTAACAATCTCGGCTAGCAACGCTGACCTCGACAGGCCGGCAGAGGTCAGTTGGACGGTGGCCAACTAGCTGTCGTCTCGTGCACTCCTGTCCAGCCTACACACTATCGTGGTTCGCGCAGTGTCTGAGCTCTCTCCCTCTGCCGTTCCCTCTCGTCCCACGCGCTACCTCACACCCTCTACTGCCAACGCCATCTCTAGCAGATCGTCCTTTGAACGGTTGCCAAAAATTTACCCGTACTCGCCCCTGTTCCGCTTGTATTACTGGTTCGCTTAATTGACTGAACTATTATCAATCCGGAAGCTTTCCAATTTCCATTCGATGGTGAGTGAGAGATTTCTTGCTTTGTAAAATATTTTGTAGGTGTGCATCCTCCGAAATGTATGAGTGATATGGTCATAAGGTTCTCCTGCAATCCGGTGTAAGGGTGCATTTTTTTCAAAATTGAAAACGGCTTGCATTTTACGCTCATTGCAATGCAACCTAAAGCGGTCGCTCTAGTAGGCTCTCATGTTCGGTAGAAAGAATTATAAATTACAAAGGAGATAAAAGAAAAAGAATAACACATTTTTTACCAGTGAAGGTCTTTGAATTGGGAATCCTATTTTTTCCAGTACATTTTTTTCTTCTCAAAAAAAACCAGCTTTATTTCAGGCGAGATCAGTTTCCCGACCTCGTAAAAGCGCGTCGAAGTCGCCGGCACGTGTGAAAAAGATGATGTCGTCACCAAAATCTGAACCGAAGAAGAAAAAGTCCGAAAAAATCAAAGTGAAGTCCAGGTCAAGATCAGCTAGTAAGGGACGTAAAGGGAAACTAATGAAATCGAAATCTCCGAAGAAGAGCAAGAGCATCAGCAGATCGAGATCTCGTCCACGTCCGATAAAGGTAGATATTTTGACTGCATATTCCTGCTAATCTTTCGATTCATTATGAGCTTAACGTTATCGGCTTTTTCAACGCATTATACGAAACTGCATGATTTAGAAATTCTCTCCGCTGAGGAGGATGTCTTCGCCAGGAAAGCAGGAAGATGCGAAGAAACCAGCACCAGCGAAAACGCCGTCAGTGAAAACTCCAACAACAAAGACTCCAGTAGTGAGGAAAAGCTCAACGAGATCAACTGCTGCTCCAGCTCCAAAGACACCATCAGTGGACTCCTCATCGACCAGCGCTTCAAGTGTGCGTCCTTCACGTAGCGTTGAAAAGAGGACCTATACGTCAACGCCTTTCGACTACGAAATGCGTCAACGGTTCTTGCGACCCGAAAGCTCTAGCCGATCTCCCGTCAAGGTAAGAACAGTTTTCTATTAGAAGTCTTGGTTATTACGGAACAACAACAACAGGTTACGATTAAAATGCCTTAAAGTGTTGAAGTTCCCGGCTACCGCGAGTTAACCGTTGCTCTTTAAGTTTTTTCTCGGGCTTTTCAATTGAGTTCTTCGTTGAGAGCTTCTCATTTTTTCATTTTTACTGATCGTACTAAATCTGAAGTTTTGGTGCTGACAATATATTCTTTTTGAGGACAAATTTTCAGATCACACCGAAGAAATCCGCACCGTCTGCCTGCACTGGATTGTACAACCGCACTTGTGGAACAGTCTATGCTGCTGGCCGCACAGTCTACGGTGCCTCTCGTGCTGCTTACCGATCAGTGGTATCAAATCGTCGCGAAATTCTCGTAACGCTGGCTCTACTGGGACTCGTTACTCTCATTACATACTTTATTCTCTATAGCGATCCTGCAAAAACCCGCGCCTTCATTCACTCAATCCCTGGCAGGGTTAAGGCGTGGTACCACAGACAAGGTTTTGTCCGTAAGTGAAACCTGGATTCTTTGTAGTATAATTTCAATGTAACCAGTGTAATCTCTTGGATACAGGAAATTCAACTGGACACCGATTGTAGCCTTCTATGGCTTATCGAGGAACCGAGGTCTTTTGTACAGCAGGCTTTTCGTACAAGACTTAAAATTCTTCAACGTGTCGATCTTTCGTCGCCCTTTTGTACATAGAAAAATGTGTTTGTTATGGCTGTAAATTAGCTTTTTATTTTTTAGGCGATAATGATCCGAACAACTTATGTAATATCATATTTTGGTTGTCGTTTTGATAAACAGCTAGATCTGAGATCGTAGTTTGAGTTAGCTGTACGACCCCGTGAAAGTGTAGTGTACACTACGCTTATTTCTTTTCTCGTGTGGGCAACTCCAACTCTGTCTCACCACCTATTCAAGTACGGTAATCACATATCGATACGAAATACATTTGGCATTTAGTTCCAATTTTAGGCTCTGTTGTGGCCTTTCCGTTTTATTTAGTTTATTATTTGTTCTGAGTGGTGAAGCAATCAAATGCGTCTGAATGTGAAGCTAATGCCGACGCTCAGTGTGAACTTCGCATGAGATCGAGGCACGCTAACAGTTTCTGCTTTCAGAAAGCTAAGCCTTCTTGAGCGGTAATTCCATATGAATGTTTGAGATTTTGATTGTCCTTATGAACCTCCTCAAGTTTTCCGCCAAAATTTACACGGTCTTTTTTGTTTTTATCGTTAATTATGGTTTGTATTGTGCGTAATAAATGCTTGTCAATCAATAAAATTCCTGCCAACCTGTCTTTTTATTTTTCGAGTAACTGATTAAATATGAGGGTTAGGACGAAATCGTTATTCGACAGACGAGGACAGCTGTCATCGTCGCAGAGTGCCGAGTAAAGAGTTACAATCTGCAGGATCCATTTAAAAGCAACAGTTCAGGAACGGTTTCGCGGGAAAAAACCACCAATAATGAAGTTGTAGATGAAAACCAGACGATTAATGTATGAAAAACTGGAAAAAAACGTCGGGGAGGGTCTTAGACAGGTACTCTCCCTCTGCCGCTCAGCAATGGATAAAGACGCACGTTGGACGAGTTGTCTGAACGTGCCCGCTGTAAACGCGCTCCATTTTTCAATCAATTTTCCCTGTGGTCCCAAAACGAGCACGATTGCCGACGCGTCCAATGACGGCCGGCAAGGGGGCGGGATTGGGGAAATCCCCAAGAACACCCATGTTTGAGGGACTTTCCACCCTGTTTTTGAGTTTCTGAGGTAAGTTCGTTTATTATTTCCACTGCATATGTTCTTCACTAGGGCTCGTGTATCCCTCAGTAGTAGTGGCATTGAAATTTTCGGACCCTCCCTGAACTGTTGCTTTAAGAACTATGGAACTCAATAAGAAAGTGAAGTTAATATACGAAAAGACGAGCAGTATTCAACATTACACTCCAAAATCTCAAAACTTAGTCTCTCCCACCTCCCCCCCTCCCCCATAATGTAATCGGTGCCTAAAACCGAATGACATATTTTAGCGAGGCTCCACGGCGCCATCTGCGTCACCTTTTCACGACACTTGCTCACCAAATGCGCGAATTCTTTCAATGTTATTGGTGTCCTGATTACGAAATCCTCGCTTTGCATAAACGTTTTTAACGCATTTTCCGTTCTCCTGTGGCACTGATAGGAGGGAGAGGGTGTAGCGGAGCAGAAGAGAAGGGTATGTGAGGAAACATGATATTAAATATTCTTTGCAGGTTTAGTCGTTCCGTCCCTCTACCTTCGAGAAGGAAGTTTTGAAAGTGCGACAACGAAAGTGCATCTCTGCAAGGACCTAGGGTGACATGAGCACACGCGCTGCAAAGGCACCTTCTCCATCTACCGCCCGCTCCCACCTCACTGAGAATGACATTTATTAGAAGACGCTGTCGCAAAAACGGCAACAGTTCTGGAAAGACCCTGGGCAAATGAAGCTGTTTCCTTAGGTTACTACAATACAGTTTCTGTCAACAGGTCATCATCATATGTGTAACACCTTTCAATAGATTCTACAACTTGAGTGGAGGTCGGATGCATGGCCTATACTGAGACGAGATCGGACGATGACGCTGCCCCTTTCTTGTCGCTTACGTTGGGAGAATTTATTCCTAGACACATTTCGAGACTTGTCCAACGAATTAACTTGCAATGGTGAAGAAGGGAGCGGCTTTTTAGGTGGCCGAGATCCATCCTTGATAGATCCTCGACGCAATTATCTCTTCAACCAAAAAGCTGTAGAAGAAAACTAAACAGACCATCAGGAAGCGCAAACCTTCCGCTTTCCAAAACTATCCTTCCCTTTTTCAGGATCTTACAATATAAGAGATATATTGCTCTTGAAGTGGCAAAACTCGCATTTTCAGCATCCTCGACGCTCCCTCGACAAAATTTGAGAGACCCTATCTCTTCGAGTGTAAAGCTTTTAGATCAATTTCAATATTGCCCGGTAGTAGCAAATCCAGCTCTATCTAACCCTACCACATACTGCTCCAAAGTTATGAAATGGGGGAATGGAACCTTTTCATCGAGAGTGTAGATTTCGACGGTTTCGAGCGGGGTTTCGGGCAAATCTGACCCACGGATAAACCGCGCTGCAACTGAAATGCTTTGCTGTACATTGATGGAACTCGCTTATTCACATCAAATCAAAGTTAGAGGGGTCGTATCAAGACCCCGATCTGAGGGGGGGTCGTACTGATGTGACCATGTCCTCGACACGATTTTCACCCTGCTCTGATCTCACCACACAAAGCCTGAGACCAACCAGCTCAGCGGTAGGGGTTTTCCGAGGTGGCTGTATCAACTGTGTTGCAAAGTTGAAGCGTGTTAGATAGATCACAGGTTGGATGGCTTGCTCACTTCAAAGCCGTCCACTACTCAAAGGGTAAGTGATGGTGGCGATCTCACCAGTGACAGGGCGCAGACGCGGAAAATAGGCGCAAAATGGAGCCAGCGCCGAAAATGAATGTCATATCCCTAATCAACGGCAAATGCTTTATCCTTTATCCTTTTATCCCTAATCAGGTTACCAAATAAGCCCTATACAAAAGTTTACACGAATTTGGTGAAAACAAGTGTCGTGACAAGGTGACGCCAACTGGCGCCAGATGGCGCCACCGCTAGAAAATGAATGTCATTTTCGTAATCAGGGCACCGAATTACCCCTATGTGCAAAGTTTCGAGAATAAAATTTTGAGATTGTAAAAGTTGAACAGTGCCGATAGGATGAAACTGAGGAGATCCGCAGTTAAGAGCAGAAAAAAGCTCTCCTAGAGTTGCAGTGAAGGGGATTGATTACCACAAATAAGGAATGCTCTCAAAATGAATTCATAAATCGCTGATATGGATGAGTTCAGGATACGGGAATGAACAACAGCAAAGTTGTAACAACAGGAAAAGCCGTTCAATGAAGCGGTACGATACGCAAAGGAACCGATGGACTGCTACCGTACAAGCTGCATGGTCAATACCTCACGTCTGTCATCTTTCGATCTGAAGTCAGTAAAGTCAGTCTACAGTGAATCGAATTTCCCACCAACGTTCAGCAAGACCGAAATTAAAACAATGAGCGGTGCTAAACAAGTAGGGTGGGCACGCCGCATTTTTTGAACAGAAATGTATGTAAGTGGGACTGCTGCCCGCTACTATACTGTCACGAGAATCGGGGAATTCGTGAGCCAGGGGGAGTGTAGCCAATCTAGGGGGTGGGGGGTGAGGGCAGTCACTTGACATGCGTGAAAAGCTGGGCGTGCCCACCCCACTTGTATAGAGCCCAATGAGCAGTAAGATGTACATTGAAATGGCAAGTTCATCAATTCCTTTTTACAGAAGCAAGAGAAATGCAGTCAATTAGCAGTTTCTTGTTTGAGTTTCATTCCCCT